CCTTAGACCCTGTAATTAACCCTTGGCCCTTTGGACCAAAAGGAGCTGGAACGTGTTGACCTTTGCAACCCACTGGGGAGTTCAATTAACTTCAAGGGCTTTTTTTTCTGGAAGCGCTAGTTGAGGAAACAAAGAGCTCTGAGAAGCGTTGGAACATTGTCATCAAATTGTTCTGAGCATCTCTATTTTTAGCAGAAGGGTGAAGGAGAGAGGGGAGCTGAAGACAATGCCTGAGAGCCCCTGTGTATGGGATGGTGGCAGCAGTAACAGGCCCATCTCAGCAGACGTCTGTGTTGGCCCCAAGCCCGAGGTAGARGGGTTCTGGGGTGGTGATAGTGGTGCTTTCTTTAAAAATGAGATGAAGCTCCATTTTCACCACCCCACCCCCATGGTCGGAAAATGAGACCCACAGATARAGCTGGAGATAATGGCAGGTTGCCATGGAAATGTGCATTTACTCTCACTGTTTCCATGGTAACTGAAAGACATACCATTCTGCTCTTCTGAAGGATGCCAAAGGTAAATGAGCACTGATTAAAACAGGGGCACAAACTTGGGCTCTAATCAGCCACAAAGACTAGGGCCATAAACTCTTATCGCTCAAGCAGGAAATATTAAGAGCCATACAAGTGAGCCGAAGGCCAGAGGCAGAAAGCACTGCACCCAACCGCTCTCCACAAGGCGAGGAACGGTGGCCCATCTCACCTGGCTTCTGCCGCCTTGCCAGGCACTTCTGTCCATGGCCGTATGCCAAAGCCCCCTCACGTTCACGATCCACCATGAGCTGCTTCCTGGGCTAGTGCCTGTGTAGATCAAAGCCAGTTGCTGTCTAAACCTGGGAGCCAGGCAGGGCAAGTGTTTTCCTCAGAACAGACAAGCTGGACCCATAGGCCCATACCTAATCCCTGGTGGTGCTAGGGTCAACCATTCTTCCTTAAATAAATTTTTAAAAAAGAAGGGAAAAAAAATATGAATGGAATAATTTGATCTAATAAAAGCRGCTGCGGTTGGCTCTTGCCAGTGCTCTGTCTCCTTGAATCATGGTTCTCTCTACGCTACCTGACAACCATATTGAACAAAGCATCATGCGTGGTTATCCCTCCCTCCGCCACCCATCTCTCAGGCAGCTACGGCCTTTTCCAGGGGAGATGGTGAACGGTGAGTGGGAGCATCTGCTGCTATGCATGAAAGAACAAGACAGGAGAACGGAGCATTGAAATCAAGCCCCTCCAACCACAGCTTCTGCTGAGGAATGTGGCTGTCGCATTTGATGGTGGGGACAACTTAGAGCAGGCAGCTCCATCCTCCARTGAGGGCTGTAGTAACTCATTCTGGAAATACAGTCTGCTTGGCTCAGCAGGTCTGAATTCAATAAATTCCCTTGGCCAGTGCCTGCTAAGGGTGTGAATCATTTAGAAGGTTTTATACCACTCCGTTTTGTACTTCCAGCTGCCAGGGCATGTTCAAAGTGCTCCGAGGTTAAAGACAGTCTTGATGTGAGAACAGTTGCTTTTATGGTGCAGGACATGGACACGAGAAATATTTTATGCACTTCTGCTTTTCTCTTACCATTTCTTCCACCGTTCAATGACTCATTCCTCCTCCAAATGCTGAATTCAGGCARCCCCTGGGAAAGCAGGAAATTACACCACTGAACCGGGAAAGGAGAAGCCCATCTGGATGCTTTCTACTCACCTCCCAGCTGTCTCCCTAACTTAACCAACAGGTCTGTACAGATGTTGAATACCCCAACAAAGAAGACTGAACTTAGTCATGGGTATTTTGGGGTCAGACCAGTTGTCCCCTAACAGCCACCTCGGTTCAGCCCTGTCATAAGCTATTTGCAGCAAGTAATGCTACACACAAGTCCATTGAGGTGCGTCTTTTAATGCACATCCCTGAACTCTGAGAAAAGAGAYATGACAGAAAAATCTGCCATTTTTCTAACACTGTCTGGCCTGTAGCCTGGAAGGGGGAAAGGTTACCAACCCTAGACAGATTAGAGGAGAGAGCAATTTTCAGGATCAGAATCAGTGCTGTAGTTTGAGATGTGCCAGCCCTCTACTAACAAGTCTCTGCAGATCTCCAACAAGCCCTGACTAGAGTGAAGATTTCTGTTCCATCCTCCTCTACACGCCTGCTAGTGACATTCATTATTGTGCCCTTCTCTATTGAAGTTTTATCTTAACATGGGTTTCCATAAATATCTTTCTTGATCATTCATTCCTTGTCAGGTGGGTGAACTGAGAGAATCCTCCTTTCTCTGCTCCCACATGAAGATTTTCCACTGCAGTTTCTCAGCTGCAATGAAGCAAAGGCTTTGTATGGCTCTGCACTCCTGCAGTGCTCTCAGGATGAGGGCTCTGACCTCCCCATGCTCCAGGCATCCCACAGATGTGTGGGATCTCAGCAGAGATCACAGCCCAGACAGACTGTATAATCCTCTAGACCTTTTTCTTCACACCACTGGTCTTGTTCCACAGCCTACAAGTTGGTACCATCTTTATCCCCTAAGGCTGGTCAGCATTCAGACCCTGATGTTTTCTTTTCCTTCTGTAAGTCAGAATTCAGCCTTTAAACTACACAAAACTTCACCAAGGTCATCCTCACTCCACTCTGCTAAAGCAAGCTCCTCTTTCCTGACTTTCTCGACATGGACTCAAGTTTCTAGTGTCTGAGGAACTGCCTTAAAATAAAAGTGCCAGGAGGGTTCTGGGGGCTGGCAGACAGCCCTTGGCATCTGTTCTCCACGGGGAACTGTAGGACTAGTTGCTTTGGCCAGGAGGTTCAAACACCTGCTCACAGGTGGCAGAACTGTGAGTCAAAGAGCAGCACCTTGTGCAGCTGGAGCTTCTCCAGCTCCGAGCAGTTTCTCTGATCTAAAGAGAACCCCGGGGCTGTGATGCCAGGTGGATTCAGCTCCCGCCTGCCTCCTAAACAGAGGACTTCTGCTCTTGCCTAGGTCTTGTAAGGGGCACATCCCACCTCCCTGCACACCCAGGTCTTGAGTGTCATCGCGCTCCCAGCAGCAGCTCCCGAGGAGAAAGGGGTCCATCTAGCGCAGCTGGAGCGGTATTGCCAGGGCTGCAGCCACAGCCTCTACACAGGCCCAGCGAGGGAGGTGGGAACCTCTCCCAACCCCAACGGGGAGGCGCTTCCACGAGCATGGCACCTGCTTGACGTGTTTCACCTAGCAGCACCCCCARTATTCCCAAAGTGGGACAATGATACATCCCGTTCAAGCTCATCAACTGCAGGGACAACTGAGGGGTTGTGCTCTGCCTCGGATCCCACCCGTACTCTGTGACAGCAGCAGACCAGCTATGAACTCCCACCTACGGCCAAAATTAACGCTGGCAGGCTGTAAACTCTCTGAGCAGTAGGAACCACTCGTCAGACCTGTGCTGTACATGCACACTGCTGACTCGTTCAGAAAGGCAGCCAAAAAGCTGAACAAAACAAACAAACAAAAACATTTAAGGCAACAAGCTCCAAAGCTCACAGTTTGCCATAAGAGTTTCCTTGAGAGCAAAGTCATGCAGTGTCCCCAGATTCAGATCTTAGGCAATTTGGTCGTGCTCAGATAAAACACAGAAGAGGGAACAAAAATAATTTTCCCATCTCTCCTTTTACCCACAAGCAGATGAATCACTTTGATTTAGAAGACACCTAGTGGCAGATAAACTAGAGAAAACAAGAAATCAAAAGGACGTTATTTAGGAAACCTCTTGGCTTCCCACCTATGGGAGGTTCAGAAAGGAAAGGAGCTATTTCACTTCATCATTAAAGTAGACACAAGGTGGGGCTTTGGGCTGGGGAATAGATCAAACTATGAAGCAAAGTTTGAAAAGAGATTCTCAGACAACTGAGTTAAAAGATGGGACTTAAGGACCCTTAGGCAGTATCCCCTAAATGCATCACCTGAACTTGCCTTCCTCCTGGCAAGGGAAGACAGCAGACACGCTGTGAAACCTGAGAACTTGTATGACTTCTGAAATTGCAAATGAGGCTTAGGAAGAGCCTGAAATAGAACTAGGGGATAGAGTGGAAGGAGAGAGTGTGTGTGTGTGTGTGTGTGTGTGTGTGTGTGTGTGTGTGTGTGTGTGTGTGTGTTGTGCACTTTTTTTTAGGGGGTGGAGTGAGTTTAAAAAAGTAAAAAAGGACAAAAAAAAAAAAACCACTATTAGTCCTGCCTACCTCAATCTTCTCTTTTTATTATATAGGCTGCACTTACAACAAATAAAAACATTTGTACCAGGGACTGAGAGAACAGCAAAACCACTGCAGATTCGCAATGCCCAGGCAAACCCACCACAGGTTTAGAGATTGAGTGAAGTGGCTGGAAAAGTGGCAAAGAGCAGCGCCAGCARCACTGGGAGGTCTAAGGGAGAGAGACTCAGAGTCCCATTCATAGAATCATAGAATGCTTAAGGTTGGAAGGGACCTCAGGGGTCATCTAGTCCAACCCCCCTGCWCAYGCAGGGTCACCTAGAGCACRTGGCACAGGGCTGCGTCCAAGCGGGTTTTAAAGATCTCCAAAGAAGGGGAGACTCCACAACCTCTCTGGGCAGCCTGTTCCAGGGCTCACCCTCACTGAGTGTTCACCCTCACTGTCAAAAAGTGTTTTCTCAAGTTCCTGTGGAACTTTTGGTGCCTCAGCTTGTGGCTGTTTCCTCTAGTCCTATTGCYGGTCACCACTGAAAAGAGGCCAGCCTCATTCAGGCAGTAAATAAATAAAAACAACCAACCCACCCCATCAACGGCCAAGTCGCAGTACCCCAAAGAACACAAGTGCTAACCCCGTGCAGAAAGGCACGCACGATACCAAGCGTGTTTGTGGCTTTCATTTTTAGTGAGAGCTTTCAGGAACACACACAGACACGCAGGCCGCTCCTGCAGCCACAGGGGCTCCGCTCCGAGGCCGGGGAGCCCGCGCCGCCGGCRGGTGCCTGCCCGGGCACAGCAGCACATGCTCCCAGCCCAGCCGCCCCCCGCTCCTCAAGGAGAGGCCAGCGGCTCCGCGGGATGAGCGGAGCCGGAGCCACCCGCGGCAGCCATGTTACAGGGCGAGGGGATGGGGCAGCCGCTGCGAAGAGGAGAGGGGAAACCCCTCGGGGCTGCCGGCGGGCTCCGTCCGCCCACAGAAGTCCAGTCAGAACTTGACAGAGAAGGAGGTGCCGCAGGAGCAGCCCTTCTCGGCCTGCGGGTTGCTCACCACCTGGAAGGAGCTGCGGATCAGCTCCTGGCTGAAGTCCACCATGGAGCCCTTCACGAAGGCCAGGCTGTCCACGTCGACCACCACGCGGGCGCCGCCTTGCTCAAACACCCTGCGGAGGAGAGACGGGGCACCCGTTAACCGGCAGCGCGGCACCCGTTAACCGGCACTCATTAACCGGTGCTCGTTAACCACGCAGCACCCGTGTCGCCTCCGCTCGCCTGTCATCGGGCTGGATGACCGTGTCCAGGGAGAACTTGTACTGGAAGCCGGAGCAGCCGCCTCCTTCCACCTGGAGCCGCAGGAACTCGTCGCCCTCGGCGATCTCCAGCAGCCTCTGCAGGGCGGYGGGCGGGTGTGACGGCGCGGCCGCCCCTGCCCGGCCCGGTTCGGCCCAGCCCGGCCCGGCCCGGCTCGGCGCTACCTTCACGCAGCTGGCGCTCAGGTGGACCCGTCCCTCGTCGCCCTCGCCCGCCGGCTGCAGCGGCTCCGAGGAGGAGGAGGA